TTGAGTTTGTGGAGGACAATACAATCATCCCAGGATTTAACATTAATAGTACGATTGTAAAAAATCTTAATAATCAAAATGTGAGTGATTACTCAGATTTTTAAAATAAATTCTAAATCTAATTAACTTTTTAACTTTTATTTATAAAACTTTGCTTTACCAATGTCTGGTAATGCATTATCAAATGGACAATATCCATAATAATAGAATACATGCATGTATTCTCGTAAATTACAGTTAAACTCATGCAAATATGCATTTTTATATAACAAGCTTGCTTTATTTCGCAATGTTTTGTATATTTGTTTCCTTTCCTGTATTAATCTTTGTTTTCTTGTCAAACTTTCTTCTTCTGTTGGTCTATCTGACTCTGTTGCTATTGAATTTCTTTTTGCATTAAACTTTGTTCCTGATCTTTTCATTTTATTTTTTAAGGGGTTTTTTATTTTATTTTTAAAATTGATTTAAAACATTTTTATTTCAAAACATTTTATTAATTGAATTTTAATTATTTTCTTTTTTTTCTAATTCTTTCACTCTGTTCTTTCTTCTTGTTATCGCTGCTCTTTGTTGGGGTGATAATTTACTTGGTTCTAATTTTTCATATGGAAATGGTACCCTTGGATCTGTTGGTGTATGTTTTTTTTGTCTTTTCCTTTTTGGTTGTTGTAATTTTACTTCTTCTTTATTATTATTTTGAATTTCTGATTTATTATCTTTAATTTCATTATCGTTACTATTTATAGAATTATTTACAGAATTATTAAATATTTCATTATTATCATTTCCTAATTTGGAATCTTCTTTTATTTCTTTACTTGAATTTTCATACGCCTTACTATTTAATGTATTATTTAGATTATCCCCTGATAAGTCTAATGATTTGTCTTTTGATTTATCTTTTGATATTACTTTCTTATTCTTATTACATAATTCTTTCATCACTGGACTATTAACTTTTGAAGCACTCAAATTTATTAAAACATCCTTAAAATTAACATCTTTAAAAGATACAGCTCTCTTAGTTGTTTTAGGTGTTGAATTGATCTTTTGTTCTAACAACCTATTAATATTTAAATCATCTGTTTCATTTACTATTTCATATCTAGGTTTACAAAAGAAAAAGAATGTATGTACTCTTACTAATGGAAACTCTTTATTTAAATAATACACATTCTCACTATTTGTTATCTTATTAGTGATTATCATTTCAAGATTATTAAAATCAATTGACATTGTGATTATCTCAAATTCCGGACTGTTTATTTTCATATCCGATACTTCCATATTTCCAATGCTTATCTTATCACTGACTATTTTGTATGTTTTTATTTTCTTTATTACCGGATCATATACTTTCAGAATATTTATATTATCCTCAATCATTTTTATCTCTAAAAATTTGTAATTAAAATTTTTTACAAAAAATTCTTTAATTCATTTATTTAATTAAATTTTCACACCTGCTTCTTTTAACTTAGCTGCAATACGTGCCTTTCTCTCTTCATTAGAAAGTTTTAGTACTTTGTATTTCTTAAAGTCACTGTAATCCTTCTTTTCTTTCTTGATCTTTTCTGGACTTTCAATGATTTTATTAAGACATGACTCATAAAGTTGTTCAATTTGTTCAGGTTCGATTCCCTCTTTAACATAAATTCCAAACTGTCTTTTATATGCCTCAACATCATCTTCTTTAAGTTGTTTCATATACTCAACATTAGGCTTCATAAAGATTCTATCTCTTAAAACAGCTGAATCAAGTTCACCATTTTCAAATCCTTCAAATTTAACAGAGGAGTGTGGGATCATCAAACCTGCATCTGATGCTCCTTTCATAGCTACAAAAACTTTAGCTCCTTTAGATGATTGAGATAATCCAATATCTAAAAAGACTTTGTATGCTCTTCTTTCTTCAGATTCTTCAATCTCTCTATCTTCACCAATCTCTCTATTTGGTTCATAAAGTTTATCTAATCCTTGTGAAACTAAAGCTCTTCTACCTACTAGCAAACCAGTGGCATAAGCTGCAAATTTATTAGTCAATCCAAAATTAATACCATAATTCTTTAATTCAGTTGAATCAGCGTATGCTTGTACAACGTCACCGTTAATTAAAGACTTAACAATCATACAGATTATTCTAGAGTTGGTCTTTCTTACAACTAATCTAGATTTAGCTGCACCAAACTTATTAACATCCTGTCTAATAATATTAGATCGATGTTTGTAATCTGTTTTTCCCTCTCTCCTTCTTCTTCTCTTAACTTGGTAGTTTTTCTGATAAGAAGGTGTTCCTTTTCTATTACTCATTGAAGGGTTAAAAATTTTATTAAAAATTCTATAAAATTTTAATTTCATCAATTTATAAAAATTTTTTCTAATTTAGAATTATCATTTGATGAATCAAGTTTTTCTTTGATTTCTCTAAGTTGATTGATTATTTGAGTGTACTTTGCAATTGTATCTTTTATATGAATAGAAAAACTTATAATAAATTTAATAAATTCTTCATGAAGCTTATCAAATTTAGTATAATAAGATTGAACATACTTTCTCATTATATACAAAGGCATATCATTACCTGGTACACTAATATAAGCAGTAAATATGATCTTTATGATATTATAAAATGGTATTTGATTACAAATAAAACCTAATACATTTTCAATACTTAACAGTAAAGCCATGACAGTGAAATATCTAGCATAATAAGTATTTTTAAACTTAGAATCAATCCATCTATTTAAATTGATAATTAAACTAACACATATAAAAACTTTTGAAATATAACCAAACATTAAGGGGTTTAAATCAAAAAGGATTAAAAAATAAACTTGGGTTTGATTGGTTATTTTAGTAAAAAAGATTTATTCATCTTTTGACTTAATTTATTCCGTTTTAACCATCTTCGATTTACAGCATTTCTTTTCACCTAAAGGTGGCAGTTGGTTTGGAGAATCTTCATTACTTTTACAACAAGTTTTTGTTTTTTCTTTAAAATTCTTATTAGAATCATCTTCAACTGTTAAATTAGATTTAACAGACTCATCTTGTTGTTTAAAAAACATCTGTTTGAAATAATCACTGTGTTTCTTAATATTAGTAAATAACACTCTATCAATTGAAGTGGTTATAGCTGAACTATTATTGTATCTCTTGGTTAAGGAGTCCCTAAGATTGAGAGCTAGTTGATTGAAGTAAGAAAGATACTTAGAAAACACGATGTTTAGTTGAGAAAGATACATATTGTAAATGAAGTAAGGTCCTTGACTATTGGGTAGTCCTATCAAAGCTATTGTCATTAGCTTAATTACGTGATAATATGGAATCCTATTTAAAAGAATAGAAGCAGCACTATCAAATCCCAGTAACACAGCCATTACAATAAAATAATGTCTGAAGAATCTTTCTGTTCTTATATCACCGTTGTTCGATATGCACTTATTTACATTATCCAGAACTAAACATAAAATTATAAAGTTTACTAATGTTTTCATCATTTTATGGGTTAAAAGTTTTTAAAAATTTTTAATCAAAACAAACAAATTTTTAACTTTATGTTTATAGTTAAGAATTTTAAGTTTTATTAACGAATTTTAAGTTTTAAAATAAACATCTACTTTGAGGTTTTATTTAATAACTATTTGATTATTATTAGTTTTTAAAAATAATTGTTATTTTTTATAGAGAAATAACTATTGATTTTATAAATTGAAACATTTTTAAAAAACATTTATTTAATTGTGTTTTTAAAAAATGGTTAATTGATTTATAAAATATAAATCAATGAAAAATAATTTGAAGGATGAACCTAATTTACTTAACATCGTTAGATTAGAAATCTTTAGTCATGGGTTCAAATCCCATATTGGAACAGAAGTATTTAAGAAATTATTTTTAGAAACCCGTAATATTAAATAAACTATGAAGAAGAAAAGAGATTTATTTAAAGAAACTGAAGAACAGAAATCAGACGAGTGTGGAGAAGTCACACAACACAACATAATTAATTCAATCAATCAAAATTATTAATAATAATTGGATTATTAACAATAATAATTTTTTAAAAAAATAAATAACAAACGGAAATTGTAAATTGAATCATCAACTTTAAAATAATAAAAAGTGTTGTTTTTAATCTGTTTTTATTAATTTGAATTCGTCATAGTAAATGGATTAAAACTAGATGGATTAAAATAAATTCTCGGTTGTGCCGGTTCACCTGGAACAACCGGTTTTCTTGTTTTCTTATCATCTTGTTTATACCAATAAACAAATCCAAATATTTAACCTAAAACAAATAAACAAATAAATAGTGCAACTAAAAATCTCTTTTTACTGCTGGATCTAGAAGTTTCTGAGTCATTGTTGTTTTCAGTTTTCATATAAGGGGTTTTAAAAAGTTATAAATAAATAACAAAAAAATTGATATTTATTTATGAAAATGATTTGCTGATTAAACTTTAAATAATTGATTGTGTTTTTAACTTTAAATCTTTACAATCTTAAAAATAATACTTTTGAAAATCTTATGATTTTTGTTTCACTTAATTTTGATTTCTATTTTTAATAACATTCTAAAAAATTGACTCTTCATTATCATTTTTTATAATGATAATTTAAATTGAAAACTTAATTTAAACAACATTTTATTGTTATCTATTAAGTATTTCTATAGCAACATACGTATCTTTCATAAATAGTAGTTTATAAAAAATCGTTTTTGTACTATAAAAAATTGAAGTTTTGAAAAAAACTACTTAAAATTTCTAATGCTTAATGTTTAAACAATAAAAATAATTAATAATAACAACGGGTATATAAAAAGTAATGTTTAAAAGTATCATTGGTTAATGATCATATTTATACTATTATAAGTGATGATATGAAGTATA